TGAAGAAGATACAACACTTATGAAAGAGGCACGGTGAGTTCTGTTCGACAAAACAACCTTCGAATAACACTCGTTATGAGACAAGGAGTAGCATCACGCAGATCTGACAAAAGTGATTTAAATAGAAAGAAAACACTATAAACAGTTGCTAAACCCTGATGTGATTGTGAAACAAGGTTTACTGTATGTCATTAGACCTAGGTAAAAGGTGAATGATAACAGTAACTCACTAATAATTGAAGAATTGACTGAAATTCTCAGCTAATCGAAAAATGGTACAGCTGTGGTAATCGATGAAGTACAACCAGAGCTAGTTAAGGTGCTGGAATAAACGGAATCTAATATTGGTGATACAATTTGGATTAGCTTAGCAAAAAAAGAAAATTCAGAATGGCTGCACGAATGACATCGTGGTCTTAACATTTAAGGAAGGCTGTTGGTTGGTCTCAAAAGTATACTGTGGAATCATCCTACTATTCGTTCCGGCTAAAGTGTTTATACGTGTAATGATGAAAAGGATCAGACAACTTCCTGCGAAGTTTTTGATGACATAAAGTCCGGTCTCGGGCAGGCAAGGAGAGAAAAGGGATCCAAAGTTTGTTTTGCAATATTCGTCCATTTCTCCAAAGTATTTATTTGGCTCAATCTGGAGAGATACCTGGTGAAAAGTGGGTGAACAATGCGGAATACCATGAAAGATTATTCACATAATTAAAAGCGTGCATGATCATTTGTTAAGCACAGTGCGAAATGATGACCAGTTCAGCAAATTCTGTCATAAAAACCTTAGAGCAAGGTCAAGATGAGCGGAATCTCTGCTGCTCTTTGCAATGTTCCTTGACTGGGTGCTCCAGTCAATCCGAAGTAGTGAAACTATGACGGCTAGAGTTGGCAACTTCTTTGATGCCCTCGTGTACTTGCAGATGATATCATATTACTTGCAGAAAACTTTGAAGTTTCAACATCCCTGCTCCTAACCCTGAAGCAGAGGTATTCCGATTCTGGTCTATCGATTAACTCAAAAAGAGAAAGCGGATGGAAATTGGAAGAACTCAGACTAAGGGCTGTCTGAGCCTTGAAATCTAAGTTGTGGAAGCGGTGCAAGAACACGCATATCTTAGTAGTACATTTACTGGAGTTTAGAGGCGCTGTACCCTGGCATTATCAGTAAACAACAAATTACTCGAGCTTTAGAAAGACATGGATGTTGGCGATCAGACGATGCTGCGGATATACAGAACTTGTATTCTACACATCTCTCCCTATGGCTTGGAGAAGGCCGCGCTTAGCAGAGCCAAAAACAGAAATTTATGTTCGCCGAGAATGAATAATTTAAAATCAATGTTAAGAGTCGCGTGGTGTTGGTTGGCGTCAAATTCTGTTGTAAGAAAAAGATTAGAATATTTAACTAAAGTACAAACTGGCCGCAAGCAGCGTGCTTAAGATAGTGGGGCCATTGCTAACGAATGCACGATAGCCGTCTTGCTATTTAGACACTGAACGCACAGTCCAACAGTAGGTGGCTGCCAGGAAAACCTCCAGAAAGAAGGCGAGATCTTGTTGGAACTGATATGACATCGAAAGGACTGAGGAGTGAGCACTCACTTGTTCAGTTCAGATAGAATTCATGTTTGGGATCCGCCATCGTCTTCGACGCAATGGGATAAAAGGAAAATGCATGAACACGTGAATATGGATTTATTCTTAGTCGTCGTTACGTTATTTTGATTTTGGCCACGCTGAAGCAATCGAAGTATCGGCCGAGTCAATGTACTATTTTTGTGGCGCGGGAGAAAATTTCACTCTGGTAGTCTGAATTGAATTATGCTGCTAAAACAGTCATTCAGAACTTATTAGGTGTATATTTGAACGGTGTCGAAGTGTTAATGTTATGTTTGACGATGGCGGTGATTAAGCTGTTTGAAAAGAAGAGATTCTTCGTTTTCGGACAGAGGACATGTTTAGTGGCAAACGATAGACGTGGCATATGCGGCTACAACACGCTCGCAGCAGTACACCATTTATAAGCAAGTAAAACGCACAACGTATGGAAGTATGTAAAGCAATGTTCGTGTTCACTGTTGATTTAATTTCATCTGCTCCTCTTCGATTTCGCTGACCGTGTCAGCTTTGCGAATGACCGACTTGAGACAGGGCAGGATTTCGAAGAACGTGTCTCGGAAGGTCTCGTTCAGCCACGCGTACAGCAGAGGGTTCCACAGCGTAGAGGTCATCGCAATGCAGTGGAAAAGCAACGCGTAGAAATACGGTTGCATGATGATGAAGTAGGGCAGAGCATCGAAGTCCCTCAGTACGTTGCTGAGCACTTGCAAGAACCAACAAACGGCGAAGATGACCACCATCGAGATCAGCATGCGGTTAGTTCGCTGTCGGCGACGAATCGCCTTCCTGAAGCGCGAGTTGGACAGAAAGCATGAACTGCTCTCCCTCGCTCTTCGAACTGCCAGTCCGTTGCTGACCTTCAACGAAATGCGCGTGTAGCAGAACGTGATGACGATCAACGGTATGACGAACTGTAAGATGAGCACGATGCTGCCGTAGACCATGCGGCCGCTGTTCGAAGACCAGTCCTCTCCGCAGAACACGCCACAGTAACGCGTGTCATTGCTGACGTCCGCCTTCAGTTCGTACGACTTGTAGTTCAGCAGCA